GGATTTGACTTTTCGGATGTATTCAGAAGAAGATAATGGTAAGGTTCAGAAATCTATAGCTGAAATCGTTTGAAATGGAGCTCCACTAATAGCAGGCCACAATGAATTGGGATAGTATGATACAGTGTTATGTGTAGGATAAAGCACGTCCGAGGGTTTTATTTAAAAACTGCATCCGTGGGATAAAACTGAGGGGCGTTTTCTCAAGGTTTTATCCGAAGGATGAGGGTTTTAAATATCATAAAATCCCCAGTGGCACGCTCACTGGGCTACAGATACAAAGGTTGAGTGTTCGATCCTCGCGAATATAAAGAAAACATTTGTCATTTGATTTCACATTTCATTACATGTTACAATCTGAAAGGAAGTTGTATTAAGAAAATCCCCAGGGTATTTATTAGAACACATTATATAGCAAATAAGCCTGGAGTATCAGAAAATCCTGAGGACATTACAACACTCCTGTTTATGAGATTTAACCCGACTGGAGAACAATAGGATTACGTCACTGGCGGTTTACAAGACATGAAGATGCGAGGCAACAAGGGAATGTTAAAGATTGTTCTGGCGCTACTGCCATTAGTTTTGGTCGAAAGCAATACCTGACATCATAAAATAGGAATTGATTCCCTTTTTGTTTGAAATATAACAAAGCATCTTAGACGTTTAATCTGATTTTCAGTTTCACCACTTTATATCGTGACCGCCTTCGTGGTCTAGTGGAAGTGCGTCCGCCCGGAGAGCGGAATGTCCGGGATTCACATAAATGCGATTCAATTCGATTATCGATTTTACATGTCCGATTCAATTCGATTCAATCGATTCATGATTTGACTACTTCAGTTGGTATCACTTGTTTTATAAAAAGTTTTTTCAAACATTTCAGTATTTATAAATTTAAATTAAAGGAATGGTGCATCTTTTGTCTTACAGAAGCATGTTGAATGTAAATATAAAAAAACAAACACTCTTTGTTTTCTGTTTTATTTGGTATTCAGTTTCAGCATAATGCAAGTGAATATTAAGAGACAAATAAATACCTAAAACACTCATTCAAAACTAACAGATTCGTGTGACCAACCAGCAAGCTAACAGTCCTCTTTGACACTCATAACACTTCAGGTATTACTAGGTGGAGCAGCACTTCTGACATGACTTCAGGTTCTACTTAAACCATAAAATTGACATTGAATATGAAAGACAACTACATGCCTTAGGTTTCCCAAGCACTCATTCAATTGTGTTCAATCACTCGTACAGCATTTGGATTTCTTTGCATTCGACTCTCCCGCCATTTTGGTGTCATTTTGTGACTTGATTTCAAAATTAACTATTTTGTGTCTTTGCTTCATATGATTGAATAAGTTTGTAGTGTAACTGTGATACGGCGATTTCACTTCGCATAAGGCGCATTTTCCTTTTTGTCTACTGATATGGTGAGATTAGCCTAAACGGGACTTTTCAGGTTGCCGGGGGGTCGCTTGGCTTGTTTGCTTGGCAGCCATGAGCCCGAGGGAATGGGCAGGATTTTCGCGAGATTGCATGAGACTCACGCGAGATCTCACTAATAAAGATGGTGGCGCACTGTATTTGGGGACGTTTCGCGACAAAATAGTAAAATACTAATATTATTAACATTGAAATATTTCAGGCATGTTGAACTTGATAAGCATGAATTGTTTTACCGAATCGCTATGTAAGGATTTTGAATCGATTGAAGTATGAAGTATCCGCGTCATACCAAAAGACGTTAAAAGATGGTACTTGTTGTTACCCTGTCTGGTGCTCGGCATTAAGGGACTAGAACAAGGACTGGTTTGCTCGGAGTCAGTATACTGTGTCAGAGTGGGGCATTCATGTTAAACTGCGGTATGGTATCTCTGTATCTTGTCCACACACACACACACACACACACACACACACACACACACACACACACACACGTGCATGCACGTCGCTATATAAGTGCAATAATCTTGGACGCGACGTTAAACCCCATTTCCCCTCACCACCACTTTATATCAACCATAGATTGACTTGATCCGTGAAGATCCGGGGGAGAATTGGTCTTCAGTAACCCATGCTTGCCGTAACAGGCGACTATGCTTGTCGTAAGAGGCGACTAACGGGATCGCGTGGTCAGGCTCGCTGACTTGGTTGATGCATGTCATCGATCCCAATTGCTTGGATCGATGGTCAAGATGTTAATCACCGGATTGTCTTGTCCAGACTCGATTCTTTTACAGACCGCCATCATATAGCTGGAATATTGCTGAGTTTGGCGTTAAACAACAAACAAACAAAACACAGATTGACTTCAGTATATATCAAAACCAACCATATTGGATGGTTCAAATCAAAGTAAGTATGAGCTCCACCAGCAGACTAAATACAGCCATTAGAACAAGTAACATGGTGGACATTATCCCTATCTTTATTGATGCATCAGCTTGATATTGCCACTTTTAGAATTTATCTGTCGATTAGCAATTTTCATGGCTGAGAGCCAATTTGCTTCCACAACAATTCCCTTCATGCACAGGCCTCAGGTTTGAATCCATGCTGTCAATCACAAAAACCTTTCAAAGCACATGTGCAAGTTTCACAAAGTATTTTACGTCAGCCAGCTAATGGGTTTTTGTATTTTAGTTGTGTCTAAGTGGTCACTTGGCTTTTAACAGTGCCTAGACTTGACAGCTGGCTTGTACTTGTATTAGTTGAGGGCGGTGAGGTAGCCTAGTGGGTGTACCAGTGTTACATACATAGAAAAGGAGTACCTATTTTGTCCTAAAACTCCATAGTTTTTTTTGTATCAGTATCTGGACATGACTCGAGTTCCGTGATACTTTCATGATCTATCGCAATAAAGGTCACAGCAATGAAGACAATCTGTAATAAAACAGGGGTATGAGGTGTAAAGAGTTGTGTCCCTTAGCTGCGTCAGCATCTGCTTGTCAAATGGGTTCAAATGCCATATTTGATCTTATTGGTCTGTCACCCAGAGGCAATTCATCATATTGCTGAGTTTGATGTTAAACAACACACGCCACGCCACGCCACGCCACGCCACGCCACGCCACGTCACGTCACACCATGCCACACCACTCCATATTCAACCAAACGAGTCTGTTCCCTGCCATAATGTTCTTCTGAATTATAAGATTTGCGTATAAATACCCATTATTTTGTTGCCAGAGTTTGTTGTATATTATTTATGACGAGTGGGACAGGAAGAATGGTTTCTATGGAAACTGGTTAATTCCATGAAGGCCTCTGTAAATAGTACCTTGATGGTGGTAGGAAATTGATTGTTTTGATTTGATTAGCAAAGGAAGGCTTGATACCAGCCTTGTGAAACTCCGTTTGTGTGATTTGTTTAGTGTGTGATTATAAAAATTGCTTTCACATTATGGGATTAAAAAAGCAGATTTTACACATTGTATTAGAACAAAAGAAAATGTGTACAGTGAAACGAGGGAGACATATATATTGGAGTTGGAAACTATCAATTATGATAAGATTTTTTTAAGAGTAGGCCTACCATATATGCCATATTTAGCGCCCTGCTCCTTAATCATTCCCAGACCAACTCCCAAAGCAGTCTGTAAATAACCTTCATGAGCATCCCCACTGAGAGAGAATGAGTAAATGACAGTGTGAGTGAGTGAGTGAGTGAATGCGTGCGTGCGTGCGTGCGTGCGTGCGTGTGTGTGTATTTGTGAGAGAGTGTGTCTGTGTGTTGCAGACTTTTCCGGCAGTAGGGAAGGAATATGTTATTGCCTAGTAGCTATTATCAAAGAAGTTTTAGTTTCCTTGACGTTTGAGTTTAATTTGTCTACAACCACTCAGTCACTGAAAATAAAGTGAGCTCTTTGTGTATAGTTTAAGTAGGTGTTTATTGTAGTAGGTCACTCTCTTGTATCATCTGCAGGTCTGTAAGTGGATCATGGAATTCTATGACTTTGAAAGCCATGTTGCCACATTAACCTAAATATGAGGTGAGGTGAAATTGGGTTTAACGTCATGTCCAAGATCATTGCACTTATATAGCGACATGCATGTACGTGTGTGTGTTTGTGTGGCTGCTTGTAGTAGTCCAGCCTGATGCCGATTTATAGTGCTAGCTCATAGATACCATGCTGCAGTTTAACATGAATACCCCACTCAGACACAGTATACTGACTCCGAGCCGACCAGTCCTTGTTTTAGCCCCTTAATGCCGAGCGCCAGACAGGGTAACAACAAGTACCATCTTTTAATGTCTTTTGGTATGACGCGGTCGGGGATCGAACCCCGGACCTTCCGCTCTCCGGGCGGACAACCTAAATATGAAGATTTGATAAATACATTTTCAGATTGGGCAGTGGGTTAGCCTCGTGGTTAAAGCATTAGCTCTACACGCGGAAGGCCCGGGTTCAATTCCCCACATGGTTACAATGTGTGAAGCCTGGTGTCCCCTGCCTTGATATTGCTGGAGTATTGCTAAAAGCGGCGTACTAACGCACTCACTCACTCACTCACTCACTCACCCTTAGTGCATGTATTTTACTTATGAAAGAAGTATTCAAGGTTCACTATTTTGTCTTCAGTTGTACTGAAGCAATGTACCGTGGACTGGCTGATGTGTTTTCATCTGCTCATTCAATAGTTCTTATTTTTCAGTTTATTTCTAGGAGTTTATTTATTGCATCAGAAAGTCATTCGAAGGTCATGATGCATAACCTAATGTATTTTACAGAAACATTGGGTTCACTTGTTGTTTTTTTAAAGATATCCAGGAGTTTTGGGAATGCATGCTGCCTTATGACTCCAAGTCCACCCATGTGTTTCATCAGTTAGTGTATAAGACAGTGTTAATGCTCAATCTACTAATGTCGCTTGTTGATGTTTCAGAAATCCAGGAGTTCTATGAATACACCCTGCTAGATGACTCCAAGTCCACCCATGTGTTTCATGAAAGTAAATGCTGAATCCGCTAATGTCGCTTGTTGATGTTTCAGAAATCCAGGAGTTCTATGAATACACCCTGCTTGATGACTCCAAGTCCACCCATGAGAAGACCCTCGAGACCCTACAGCTGGCCAGCAAGTGGGAGCGAGAACCGCCCGCAGCCAACAACCAGACCAGGATGGAAGTTAGCCATGTAAGACATGTTCTTTTAAAATTGGAATTTGTTTTAACCCTTACAACCTTTGAAGATCCGGGTTGGAAAAGGTCTTCAGCAACCCATGCTTGCCGTAAAAGGCGACTACGCTTGTCGTAAGAGGTGACTAATGGGATCAGATGATTAGGCTTGCTGACTTGGTTGATGCATGTCATCTTATCCCAACTTTTGATGCCCATAATGTCGGTCACTGGATTGTTTCTTCCAGACTCGTTTATTTACAGACCACCCTCATATAGCTGGAATATAGCCGAGTGCAGCTTCAGAGAACAAACAATAAAACAAATTTAGCTGTTACATCACAATTGTCCCGGGACCAATAGCAAGGCAACAGTTGCAAGTGTCTATATCAGAGGTTGTCATTGATGCCGTCCCACGCTTTGGATAGTAGTGATTGGTATGATAACATTTATAAAATGCTATTTGTTAATAAGCATTACAAATTATCGCCCAAGCAGTCTGCTTCAATTACAACTTGGTGGACATGTACGACTTGGTCATTTTTTAGAATAATGCAAAGAAACCAACGTTGTACTGTTGGGCTGGGACGATGCACCAACTGTGCCATCCAATACGTAGGATCGTGAGCAAGGTATCGTGATACGTATCACGATACTTGCATGTGCTCTCATCAGTGGTGCGTAAGTGATCTTTTTATAAACAAGATGGCCAAATGCCTGGCACACTGACGATTAATGGATTAAAATGTTCACGTTTCCCAACCAATTATTGTTTGCTGTAATTATTAGAGCAAACATTAAAGATAAGAATCAATACTTTGTTCTTGTGTGTGACTGTGATTGAACCTGTATCAAGAAGTAAAAAATTATTATCCCCGATACATCGGTGTGTGACGTCCCACTACTACATTGTACCTGCTGATTGATGGTTCGAATCAGGGATGTATTTGGTGACTGTACATCATGGCATTGGGGGACAGCCAGTAGGCTACTGTACCACAATTAGTTGTTTAGAGTTGCTTCCCTTAGTGGTGCCAGGGTCAGTATTGGTTTGAATCCACATATTGCCAAATTTATGAGCATTGGTTATCACTAGGGCTGTTACGATTCACTCGCATATTCGGTGAATCGAACTGTATCCATTCATGAATTGAATTCGTTATTCATGGCCACTAGAATCGAATATTTACGAATAAGCAGTCATGTGCATTTACATTCCCTGTACCTAAAAATATCCATAAGAACATATTATATGCATAGATTTCTTCAAAGACAACACTCTTATAATATTTAATTTGACAGTATTGTGATCACTGGTCATTGTCGCATTTGAGCAGATACTAGTACCTGGATAAGTGCAGTATATAAATGTATAAAATATTGATAATTAACAAACCATGTCAAATAATTCATGTTGTTATTGTTTCACTGAAGGTAACAAATAATACATCAGCTGCTGTTTTGTTTTTTGTATTCGTGTATTAATATTCGTATTCATTACCATATATTCGTGACACGAATTGTATTCCCCTCATAGTGTATTCGTTGCAGCCCTAGTTGTCACTATCCTCATAAATGGCCAAAGTGGCCCAGTTGTCTGAGGCACCATTGCAGCTTGGCATCCTACTGGTGCCTGAAACCTGTCGTCATGGGTACAACTCACACATTCACCATCCCCGGCCGCGTCATACCAAAAGACGTTAAAAGATGGTACTTGTTGTTACCCTGTCTGGCGCTCGGCATTAAGGGGCTAAAACAAGGACTGGTCGGCTCGGAGTCAGTATACTGTGTCTGAGTGGGGTATTCAAGTTAAACTGCGGCATGCTATCTCAGTGAGCTAGCACTATAAATCGGCATCAGGCCGGACTAGTACAAGCAGCCACACATACACATACATGCACGTCGTTATATAAGTGCAATAATCTTGGACGCGACGTTAAACCCCATTTCACCTCACCCCACATTCACCTGGATTATATTTCTTGGGTGTGTCAAACTAACCCAGGCTCATGGGTTCCACCAAGTTATAAATGTTTCATCCCACATCAAGCTAACAACCATGATAAAACTGAAATACTGTTCTAAATAGCGTTAAACCCACCTCTCCCACTTCAAAAGGGTCAAGAATTAGTGATAATAAAATTCCACTTGGAAATCTGTTTCTCTCCCTGGAAACCCTTTAGTGGCAATTTGTGCTTCTGGTATTTCTGTCACTTGGTAGATTTTGTATGTCAGCTTAATGTGGGAGGAGGGCCCAAAGTGATGCAGGTTTTGTATGTCGGCTTAATGTGGGAGGAAAGCCCAAAGTGATGCAGATCTTGTATGTCAGCTTAATGTGGGAGGAAAGCCCAAAGTGATGCAGGTTTTGTATGTCAGCTTAATGTGGGAGGGAAGCCCAAAGTGATGCAGGTTTTGTGTGTCAGCTGAACGTGGGAGGAGGGCCCAAAGTGATGCAGGTTTTGTATGTCAGCTTAATGTGGGAGGGAAGCCCAAAGTGATGCAGCTTTTGTATGTCAGCTTAATGTGGGAGGAAAGCCAACAGTGATGCAGGGTTTGTATGTCAGCTTAATGTGGGAGGAAAGCCAACAGTGATGCAGATCTTGTATGTCAGCTTAATGTGAGAGGAAAGCCCAAAGTGTTGCAGATCTTGTATGTCAGCTTAATGTGGGAGGAAAGCCAACAGTGATGCAGATCTTGTATGTCAGCTTAATGTGGGAGGAAAGCCAACAGTGATGCAGATCTTGTATGTCAGCTTAATGTGGGAGGAAAGCCCAAAGTGATGCAGATCTTGTATGTCAGCTTAATGTGGGAGGAAAGCCTGAAGTGATGCAGATCTTGTATGTCAGCTTAATGTGGGAGGAAAGCCCAAAGTGATGCAGGTTTTGTATGTCGGCTTAATGTGGGAGGAAAGCCAACAGTGATGCAGGGTTTGTATGTCAGCTTAATGTGGGAGGAAAGCCCAAAGTGATGCAGATCTTGTATGTCAGCTTAATTTTAGGAGGAAAGCCCAAAGTGATGCAGGTTTGGGGAGGAAAGCCCAAAGTGATGTAGTTCTCAGATGTTTGCCACTTTCGTGAAACCCAGAAGCAGGGGTATAGTGGTGACAAACCTAGAAACATAATCAGGACAAACAGGGATTCGAACCCACAATCATAAATTTCAGTGATGCTGAAGGAATGCAACTCTTAACAGCAAATTGTGTCACCTCTGACGACTGGGCCACCCGTGCCCCCCACAATTCAGACCAAGTCTCTCCAGGAAAGGTGTTTTTTAGCTGACATGGACTGATTGTAGCAACCACGCAAATGAATCGCCAGCTGATATTATGGTGGAAGCATATTAATGGTATCTTGTTCAAAGAAATTAGCCTCCAGCCTTGAATTGCACTGGTCCTGTTTCTCTAGATATTACCCAAGAAAATCAATAAGAATTGACATACAAAAAGTCACAATTGATATCATTATGTAAGTATTCCTGAAAGATACCCATGGTGTCTTTAATTCAATTATTTTGCTACAGGAATATTTTTTCTTCACCTGTCTGAATATTCCTTTGTACTGGCTTGTTACATTTCTGTGTGACCATTTTTTTAAATCAAATATATTCTGAAATGCTTTGAAAAGCAGATGGAAGATTTGCTGCTAGAATCACTTCAGACCTCCCAGGGTCAGTGTGCTCCACATTTCCAAGACTTGGCTGAATTTTTTTTTATTGTTCTGTGAAGAAAATTCTGAAACCTAACAGAGTCAACACTACAAAAAATAGCGTTTTTTCTCTCAAAGACATGATTGTGAAGGACACGAGGGCTGTGAGAGTGCCACTGCTGAAGAGACGATGTGCTGGGTTTGGCTGTTCTCATCGAGGTGCTTGTAACCGAGAGCAAGCAAAGAGTTGTCTCCCATGCACTAACAGGTTCTGTGTCTGTGAAATGGAAGCACTCTTGGTGAGCTTGTTAAAACATTTTGGATGGATGGCCAGCTATAAATCTTAGTCTTGCTCTTATGTTGGTGGCTAAAGCTTCCATACTGATATAATAATTAATTAGATGAGAGTACAAAAGAGACATTTTGAGTTTTGTATCTGAATGTTTAATCTTGTGAGTATTATTTTACGCCTCCTTTAGCAATAGCTCAGCAATATCACGGCAGTGGACACCACGAATGGGCTTCATAGACTGTACTAGGGCTAGGACGATAACCAACTGTGTGATCCGATACGTATCACAATACCTTGCTCATGATCCGATACGTATCACGATACCTTGCTCATGATCCGATACGTATCCCGATACCTTGCTCATGATCCGATACGTATCACAATACCTTGCTCATGATCCGATACGTATCACGATACCTTGCTCATGATCTGATACGTATCACAATACCTTGCTCATGATCCGATACGTATCACAATACCTTGCTCATGATCCAATACGTATCACAATACCTTGCTCATGATCCGATACGTATCCCGATACCTTGCTCATGATCCGATACGTATCACAATACCTTGCTCATGATCCAATACGTATCACTATACCTTGCTCATGATCCGATACGTATCACAATACCTTGCTCATGATCCAATACGTATCACAATACCTTGCTCATGATCCGATACGTATCCCGATACCTTGCTCATGATCCGATACGTATCACAATACCTTGCTCATGATCCGATACGTATCACTATACCTTGCTCATGATCCGATACGTATCACAATACCTTGCTCATGATCTGATACGTATCCCGATACCTTGCTCATGATCCGATATGTATCACGATACCTTGCTCATGATCCGATACGTATCACGTTACCTTGCTCCTGATGCGATACGTATCACAATACCTTGCTCATGATGCGATACGTATCACAATACCTTGCTCATGATCGGATACGTATCACTATACCTTGCTCAAGATCCGATACGTATCACAATATTTTGCTCATGATCCGATACGTATCATGATACCTTGCTCATGATCCGATACATATCACAATACCTTGCTCATGATCCG